CTCTTTGATGATATCTTATCTTTTATGGCTGCAACATTCCTGCAAATTAAGAGTAGATGTCTTGGGAATCATTTCCTGTTTTCACCCAAAATTGTCCCTCACATATTTGTTTATTTTTTAGAAACTTTGGGATCTTCACAAAGTTCTGTAGGTTTGAACTGCTTGGATGCAAACTATTTCAGTTTGAAGTGAGGTATTGAGCTGAAATAGTAAATATTTGTTGCCACTTGGGGGTAGCAGAACAAGCTGTGTACATAAAGTTATTGACAATCCTTAAGTTGTATTTGAAAAAATTGTTTTCACTTAAGGTAAACACAAAACAACATAAGCATCAATCCGGAGTTCTGTTTTTTTGAACCAACAAACACAAGGCTGACATTCAATTGCCTTTTAGCAAATTTTTGGTCTCCAAAAAGCCTAATGCTTCACAGTTTAGTACTTGACGATTTATAAGAATCATTTTTCTGCTGCTGCTACAAACAAAGTTGATCTGAAAGTTGAACTGAAATCGCAGGTCGCACAACCAAAATAAATTTGCTAAAATAGCTTAAAAATCTCTACAGCTAAGGGCTTTTACGAGTTTTTCCTATTACCAACAACCCCATTTTATCCACTGTTAATATAAGAATATTGATTAGTGCAGCTTTAATTATCTTAACAATTTTAATCAAGTAAATTAAGCATGAAGGGTTGTTATTTTTCGGTCCTAATAGGACCTACAGTACTGGAGCAGCTCACAATGTCACACTCACTGCTCACAATGTCGCACTCACTTGCTGTGCTGATAACATTCATTGCCATTAAGCCGTGACGAAAGATAAGGTTACAGCTACCGTTGAATGAAAACCACGAGGCTGCAAAATTATACCTCAACATGAACTTGAAGTGGCGTCATGTTTTCACCCTGTTGCACCACAGCACCGTAATCTCTATTATGGAAACAAGGAAATAGCAGCTCACACGTCAGCATTGTGTGCATCCGTTCCTGGAGAGTCCCACTTCTGTTACTATTTTACGCACGCTTGCTATTTTTAGCTCCTCAAAGGCTGTGGTATATAAATAGATTGCAACTGTAACCTTGAGCAAGAGGGGTTAACGAGAACATCACGTCATGAAGTTCACTGGACTAGCAGCAATAGAAAATAAAAGCCTCCAGGTTAAAAATATCCCTAAATGCTTCATTTATCAGTGGTTGGTTTTCTAACAGGAGTTGATTATTAACTGGTGTTTTTTTTAAAATAGTTCTTGAAATAAATTATGAAATTCTATGAAAAATACACAATTTGGTGCACATAAAGCTAAATCTGAGGCTTCTAAAAGAAGAGGACAACTGTGTTAGCCCAACATGTGGTAATATCATGAACGAGTTAATATTGATGCACCATAGTTTAAAACTTAAGCATCAGCCACACGTTTTGACATATAGTGAAATAATTAATGGACTTGAAGCATAGAATGTCAATGTATGCAACAATATAGTATTGTACTACATGTATAGTAGTTTTTGGCAGATTTGACTGAGCAAATTTGGATTAATTTAAAAAATATAAATAAAATGATTTTAGCTCTTTAGCTTGACGAGGTTGATTCTGTCCACATAAACTATATTTAACGTGGCAGTCTAACCATGAAGCCCACTAAAGGCAACCTGTTCATTTTGTATTGCATGTGAACTACTTGCCTTGAAGGTAAGGTTGTTTCATTTCTTTAACACTGGATAATTAAAGGGGAACTATATGTTTACATACCTCGAGTACAGCTACCACTGCTGAGTAAAACCTGATTTATTGACAGTTGGGGCTGAAGACTTCTGGGAGTGTGGAGTTAGAAAGAAACAACCTTACCACACCTGTGTCAATCTCAGAAGTTGAGTTGCTTTGTGGGTAATGAAGCTTTTATCTAAGAAAAGTATAGTTGTGCTGTCAAAACTCAGGTATTATATTGGCGATAGTATTGACACATCTCAAATGTAACTCATAAACTGCACTGTAAGCACATGCTGTAAAACAAGCACGAGCAACACTCATTCCCAGACTGAATTCAGAGGAAAGGTAGAGCTATTTTTAGAAAGGCTGAAGTCCACAAAAAATGTGACGCTTACTGTTATCTCCTGCCATCGTCAAAGTTTATGACTCGAACCTTCTATATCAAAGCCTGTCTTCCTGCAGTAAAACCATAGTGGTACTTCAGCAAATGATGTAACAGCATCTGCCCTGTAATCACTGTCACAAACCGGGCCGAACGGCCATGACAAAAAAGGGAGACGCCTTCAATGAAACAGTTGATTAATTATTTATTAGGTTTAAAGTAATATAAAAGACAAACATAAACTAACAGTGACATGTGAAGTCAGTCATTTCAGCAGTGTAAGTGAGTGGGTGCGTGTAAAGTGTATATGTTGTGTTGTGTGTTGTATAGTGTAGAAACAAACCATAACTGCAACAGAAACCAAAATGGGTGTCTCAGGAAGGAGCGAGAGACCAACTGCGAATCCAGAGGGTTTTTGTACCGAGTGCTCTGGCACACAGGGCCAGTGTTGCAAATAGCCTCAGGTGCTTCCACTCTGCCTGACGACCCTCTGCCACACCCACCTCCACACCTGCAAGGAAGGCAGCCAAACGAACAGGCAGAGAGGGTCGTCACATCACATGCAAGGCATTTTAATTGTACCTGGGTATGAAGCAATTAAAACATCTTTAATCCGAGTTATAGACAGTCGCATCACTGCAGCTCCTCAATAAACACCATGGCCCGATTATAATTTGTAACTTGTTTAAGCAAAAGTGCAGTTGAGCAAATTATCACAAACTAGTTTCCACACTCCCCAGGGCAGTTGCCCACATTACCTCGATGGTAATCCAGTTAAGTATTGATTTAAGGATTTGAATACCAAAAGTGTTAAATGTGGGCCTAATTCTTTCGACAATGCATTTCTAATTCAAATTATGGTTAGGACCAGCTTCGCAATAATATAGATGATAATACTTTTCAAGACAATCAAAGGAGAAGTTAAATAAAGTTTCTAGAAACACTGTAAGTATATGGAAGTTGTACTAGTTACGGTTTGGTTGGATTTTAACCAAGGAGTAATCTCCGCGTCTGAAAAGTGAAGCTAATGCTGAAGTGCCTTAAACCTGCATTCTTTCTAATGGCCATCAGGGGGCGACTCCTCTGGTTGTATAGAAGTCTATGAGAAAATGATCTAGTTTCTGACTTTATTTATTCCCTCAGTAAACATTGTAAACATGAGTTTATGGTCTCAATCTCTAGTTTCAAGTCTTCAATACAGCATGATGTTCATTTAGTAAATTATGGTCCATTTAGAGTCAAATGGAGTATGTTTTAGGGCGGGGCTACATTGGGAAGTCCCTACAGTGTTTGGTTGGTTTAAGCATGTTTTTTTTCGTTATAGTCTAAATTAGTATCCCAATTAATTTTACAGTTAATTACAGATATAGCTAGTGTTAGCTGCTGACGTTACCTGGTCATTTGGTTACAACAAGCTACACCACAACACAACTTTGTAAAAGGTTGATGGGTAAAAGATCATGGTTTGTGTTCAAATAAGTATCATTGTAGAAGTTTGGGATCAAAAGTCTACTTACACATAAAGGTTAGGAGAGCTGTGTTGTGACGGTTACAAGAATAACCACATTGTTAAGGTTAGGGGACGAACGTGGTCAACAGAACACCAACATTGACTTTCCACTTCACCAATTCTGTTTTCTAATGATTAATGAATCTAGAGGAAGAACAACTTTGACATAGAAGTTAATTAAGGACCACACAGCAGCGAATGACCTGTAAACAAGAATGGCATATGTCAGCAAGAATCATTAGTGAAACAACGTTTTCTGCAGGTTAAACAGTAGCCACGTGCCACGATAGTCTGATAACAGCCTTTGGATCTCAGTGTCACTGAAACAATTCTGATTGCATCTGACAGGAGTCGAGGGACTTTCTGCTCAATAAAAGTCGTCTGTTTGTCTTTCTGAACACATCGCTATTTTAAAGTGCTCCTGAGAACACTTCCTCACCTTTCAAACTATATTCACATGTGGACAGGTCACTTTTAGAGTCAGTCCTCTTCTCCAAATGTTGACACTGGAGTCGTCACTATGTTGAGGTTATCTGACCCGTAGATATCAGTGTGTGTCTTTTCTAAGTTGGTAAAAAGATACACTACACGAATCACCCACACACACACGCACACACAATGAGTAAATTCCTTTTGTGCTGCTGCAAGGGAGGTGGTTATTGAATAACTTGTCAGGGGAAGTTTAGGAAAGTGTACTCCTGCTATGAGAGCTTAACTCCATGGATGCTTTTGAACTGTGGAAATTATCATTAAACCAAAGTGAGGTTTTGCAATATTTTCTCATATTTGACAATTAACGTGATATTCAAATCCTTGCCAGGTTATCAGTACTTAAAAAATGTCCTTACTACCATTTCCAGCAAACATTAGCATTAGGTCAATGTGTATTGTCTTTTAATCTATTTTTAATGTAACAAAGTGTTTTTTTAAATACCTTTTTTTAAGAATTAGTCATTTCACTTGTACTTTAGTTATTTTGTGTGTGCGTGTGTGTTTGGGCTGTTGAGTTTATATTATCTTTACATCTCTGTGTTGGCTGCCTTGATGACGCTCTATTCTGCATCTTATTTTATTCCTCTTGTTTAATAATGCTTATTTACTGTCTGTTGTTTTTGTTCAATAGTATGAGTTTTGTCCTCTTTTCTGGATATTTCTAGTGGTGCTACACTGATAAAGGTGGTTGGATATTTCTAATCACTTCCACAGGCTACAAATGCCAATTTTCTAATACACTTCCTGGTCCCACTCGGAGGTGAGAACCAGGAGGTTTTCTGGCTCACTTCCACATTCTGGAACAATCACACATGTGTTACACTATCCTGCCAAACACGGGGAAATCCCAGAGACGCCCTACATAAGCAAGGCCGTCTCTGTCACACTCTCACTAAATCCCTCGAGGCGCTTTACACCACTTACTTTAAACCTCAACATCAACAAACTGAGACCGGTACAGCCAGCACTCCTACCATAAGAAACAATGGCAAGCAGCAAAGTTTGTCTCCTGGCAGTTCTGTGCTCCCTCGTCACCCTCACTACCTTTATCGGCAGCACACGCTCAGGTAAGTCTTCACTGCAAATCTTAAAGCTCTGACAAACAGTGGAAAAGTAGATTTAAGATTGTGTGGTTCAGAGTTAAAAAAAGAAGCTAAATTAACATATTTGTCAAAAGCTATATTTGTTAATGCTGTGTTCCCAGAATCAAAATGACGTGGTTGTCTGTATTTATTTATTTCTTTACAATTTTTGCAGCGAGCTGCTGCATGATGTACACCTCACGCCGGCTGTCATGCCAGCGTCTGATGGGCTACACCATTCAGAAGATCGTCAACTCCTGCGACATCAGCGCCGTTATGTGAGTAAATGATTTGATCTCATGCAATTCTGCAAATTCAGTAGCAACAGCAACACATGGAGCCGGCTGTAACGGGTAGATCCAGGTGGAAATATTAAGGAAGAAACAATAAATGTTTACTTTACAGATAATGTAGGCCAGGTTAACAATGGTCATAAATTATTCTGCAGACTATTTTCTTAATTAAAACATAAAGAAACTCCGATCACATGATTCTAGAGCACAAGGTGACGTGATCAAATGTCTTCTTCTGTCAGATTTTAGTTCAAAACCCCAAAATGTTCAATTTGTTTCAGTGTGAATTCTCATATTTGACATATAAAAAGAATATAATAGAATATAAGTTATTATAGTGATATAAAGAAATGTACTGCATGATTGTGTTACTGTGCAATCGCAGTTGCAGACTTACTTACAACTTAACTTACCCTCTAAATGTACCGAAAATAGAAATATGGCAGTGCACTCAAGTTAACAAAGCATGAGCGGGTTAGCTTGTGTGTCTAAATTGCACAACACTCCCTCGCTTGTGTTCCCCCGGCAGTTAAAGTGTGACCAAAAATCAATAATTTGCTGTAGGCAAGGATTGATTGCTGAATGGGCCTAACTAGCACAGGACCAGCAGCCCAAAGTGTCAGGGGGCACTAAGAAATGTTACTCGAAGAGATATGTACCAACCACAATGAGACTCAAGATGACCACAAGCAGACATATGGCAACAACACAGACACTCAAAATGACTATTAAAAGATGCAAAATGGCAAAAAAAAGGGGACAAATCAACCACAGACAAAAATAACTACAAAAAGACCCCAACAAATTACAAAGTGACACAAAACAACTACAAAGACACATTAAAAGGACCCCAAAGAGACACTATTCCACAACAAAAAGAGGCTAAACAACTATAAAGTTTGTGTCTTGCTCTTGTATAGGAGAGGTGGCTGCAGGACTCTGTGGACTGTCACTGGAGTAAATATGTCTGAGAGACACTGTGGGGTTAATACACAAACTAGAATGAGACCACAGGGAGGGGAACTGTTCCTCTCGTGTAATGAAGCACATTAATGTGTCTCATGTTTCATCATTTCCTAACCGTGTCCTGTTTTCCCACAGATTCCACCTTCCAGGCAGGTTCGTGTGTGCTAACCCTTCATCCAAGTGGACTCAGAGAGGGGTGAAATGTCTCGAGTGAGTACACTCATGTCCCTTTAGGGTGCTTAATGCCGTCTTTCCGTGCAATGTTTTTCATTTGATGCTCTAACCATGCACTAAACTAAATAAATGTTGTGTTTCCATTCTCCTGTGTAGTGAGAGGAGGAGGAAGAACAGTCAGATCACCGCGAAGAACACCACGTCAGCATAAGCTCTACAGAGCAGTTCATATCTGCAGCACATGACTCTGTTTCTTATGCACCCAAGAACCCTGATAGTCACTGTAATTAGATTTTTGTAAATCATTATCTTATATCTCATATTTGTTCTGTTTTATAAACAGCGAAGTGTAGTACATAATATACACAGTAAACGGTACGTTGTAGCAACAGATCACCAACAAAACAATTATGAAAACATTGTTTTTGAGAAGTATATACTGTATATGTATGTATATTATATATTTATGTTATGTATTGCGTGTTGCTGAACTCTGACATTTTGGGTCAGCGAAATGAAGTATGGAAGTGGGAAGTTTTGCTTGTAATTTATATTTTCAAATAATGTATTAAAATAGATGTTTGATAATACATGTGTATGTCTATATGTCCACACATTTTATACTTTCAAAACAACCTTTTCATTTATTATTTGAAAAATTACTTGAAATGAATTATTGAGTTTATTTTTATCTACTGTATGTAGAACAAGTATTTTAAAAAAAGAAATACAATCATCATATCTGCTGTACATTGCAAATTTGATCTTACTTTACAGTGCTTAGTCAATAAAAAGTCAGAATTTCCATCAGAGTAAAACTCAAAATCAGCACTTTAAAATATGCAGTCGACTCAATATAATAGTAACAATATTACGAACACAAGAGGATACAATTGGAAAATTATGCATTTGATATTAGACATTTGTCACAAAGTTTTTACCCAGAAGAAGACAATGTTATCCCGCTGATGATCGATTATGTAATAAAAATAACAATAATTCCAAAAAGCTGATTCAAAAGTGTCCAGGGACAACAGATGAAACACCAAGTTTAACATTTACAATATAAAAAAGATTAAAATAACAAGATTGTGTGCTGCTGGTTACACAATAATACAGACTGTATGATTTCCCCCCATAATCAATGTAAAGCTTTTCAGATTATACATTTATTTTTACAAATTGCTTTTGCCGGTTTTCTAAGCGACATTTCTACTGATTACCGGCCAGTTGCTTCATTTCTAAATAATGTAAATGACCATATATACAGTACAAGTTATCGTGACAATGTGGCAACATGTTTTGAGCGAAATGAAACTGTGCATATGTCAATCTGTTGCAGGTTAAAAGATTGGTAGTATCATTGTATAGTTTTAAAAAATGAATTTGAAAGTGATTTATGATTTTTATCAAACACAACTAGCAAGTAGTGGGACCCAAACACAGATATTTTATTTGTCTAAAGTATTTTAGATTGGACCAATCTGTTGTTGTTCAGTTCTTCTTTTTTTTTGTTAGACCACAGTATCTTATTCTGTTCTATATAATATTTATAATGGCATCTGTCATTATCAGATCACTGCCCTATTAGAGGAGCTCATGATGGAAAAAGTAATTTCACTCGTACTTAGTCATAACTTGGTCTTCCAGTTTGGTTGTATGGGATCTGACTCCTCATTTTCCATTTCAGTTAGACCATTAAGATCAGCTGATCAAGATGGTATTAAAAAGTAATGAGGGGAAACTCCTTCAGATACACTTTATGGCAATTTTGTGGTAAAACAACCCAACAAATTCCAAGAAGACTCCAACAAAGTCCACTGTCTGTAAACCTCGAAGGATTGTATTTCCATTCCATCACGGTCCGTCCACCACATTGAGGAGGAACTGGTCCTCACCAAGGTCTTCTCCGGTCTTCAGAGCCTGGCGGAGTTTCTCCCAGAACAGCTCGGG